AAGGCTTACACCCTGTCTCAAACTTCAGTTTCCCACTTCTGTACAGAAGGTCTCGTTATCCAGGGAACAATGATAAAGTTGGAAACACTCTTTGGTCAAGGAAGATCATTTCCTCCTGGCAGACTGATGCATCAGAAAGCTTCTCTTAGAGCAATCCCTAAGGTTTCATCTTTGGATTGTCTGTCTTTTGAACTTGCCTCTTAAATGGAAATGAAATTAACTTACCGCTGTACAGCTTGGTTCTGTGGAGTTGGTCAGACAGGCTAGGAGACTCGGTATAATTAACTGAACTGAAAACTGTGATGCCTCCAAGAAATCGTTGGTCAGTTCAAAGAAGTCAGTATTTAATAAGTATCTACCTAACTATTCCCATTGGAAAATTAGGGGACAGAACCAACAGCATATCCAAAAGTACAAATGAACACCAAGAAGATCATCAATCGACGAGAAATCAGAGTAGGGCTGGGGCTGGTACATGTCACTCTTTAGAAGAAGTTAAACTCAGAGACTGGTAGACAGAAGCAGACAAGGAAGAAATCCTTCCAAGCTCCCAGCAGAGCTTCTTCAGATGCATGGAAGTGGAAATGAAGGTGGAAGATGCTGGGGACAGCAAGTACAGAGATGGCTGGAAACGTAAGTATTTGTTGGAGAGACCACTCAGGATGGAGAATGTGGGACTGAGTGGTGAACTTTGAATGCAACGCAGAGGACTTGGATTTTGACATGAGAAGTGCCTGTGGTTTTCTGATGAGAGGTGCCTTGATAAAAATAGTGCTTATCAAATATTATTCTAGAGATTAGAACCGAGAAGCCAAATGAAAAGTTGTAACAGAAAATCCTTCTCTTAAAAAAAAAAAAAAAATCACAAAGCTCCTTACATTTTTCTACCAATTCATACCAGCAAAGCCTTCTCTGCTGGGTGGGCTACAATGAGGTCTATCTTACAAGGGGAAGGATTTCATGACCGAAAGTTCTTGGTGTTTTCCCTAGGCTGCCATTAGGGCACAGACTGAAAAACTATCTAATTCTCACACATCTTATTTATTTTTTGCACCTGGTCTTCGTGTCTGATTTTTGTTTTAAGCGTACCACGCTAGCTACTTCCCTAAAACAGGCCATTCCGTACAGCATAACTGGACAGAGAGAAGAAATAAAACCAGCTATTCTTTAGGGGAAATTCGAGGGAGGAGAAAGATGGAACGTCACCAGTGGCCTGACTTCTTACTAAGGATAGAGCTGAATTTTAAATTACATATCCACTGCCCAGGCACTGTGGAGCTACTCAGGCCTAAACAAACCTCATAATGAAACTACACTGCTCTAGTTTCTTTCTTGTTTTATAGATGTATGTATATGTGTGTTTTTCTGTACTGAAAGCACAGACTCGGAGAAAGCCTGAAAAAACCCAGTCCTCTATTTTATATGGCAGAAAGAGCCCAGTAAACACAAACACAGCAGAGCACTTCCTCTTGTTGACAACCTTATGATTTCCCCTTAATGCACTGTTTAGAACAGCAATTAAGTGTCATTTCCCTTTATCTTATACACGGGATCAGCACTGCTTTTCTTTCCAACCGCCAATCGTGAAGGACATATAGAGGATCCACGTGCTGGTGAGACATGTCAAGACTGATAGCCCAGAGCCTAAGAGCTCTGTTTATGTCCAGAACAGGTGTGCGGCCAGGGAGTGGGAGCGAAATCACCCCTCCACCTTCTCACATCTGCCTCCCCAGCCTCCCTCCCTTATAGGGCTCCCCTCTGCACTGCGAGGGAGAGCAGCCAGGGAAGAACCTTCCTGTTCAGCCCGTTTCCTTCTGCCGGAGAACGCTGGCTCGCTCTCAAGACTGCAAGCATTTGACCACTGCACAGAGCAGCGAGCGTGTCCAGTCATTTTATTCACATCCCTCACTAGGGGATCAGAAAGCCAAGGACACACTGGTGATTTCCCTGGTTTTATAGATCTCTACTCCCCCCGAGGCCTGCAACACATTTTTGGTTCTTGTGTTCAGAGCGCCCTGGCATCTGCAGTGTGGGAAACCTTAACTGAGGGCCAATGGCCCTACAGCTTCCCCCTATTAAAATGTGCAACTGGATTTCACATGCGTGTTTCAAACACCATTCAAGGCGTGATTTACAGGCTACTGTCTAGCCCCGCAGCTGTTTTTTCGTCCCCCAGATGTAGCCACTTCTAGGAATCCACCACTCAGCTCCCTAGCAGACAGCCTTCCCATTTTCAACCTCTTCCATCATTCTCGGGCATCCAAAACCTTGCAAGACCTACATCAGAAGGATTCAAGAAGATATCTTTTGAACGGACACACTATTAATTTTTCTTTCCACTCTATCCATTCATGAGAACAGCCCATTTGATGCCTTTTTTCTGTTTACCCCACCTTAAACCTTTGGGTTTACCTCACCCAAATTAAACAAATCACTGTGGACCCACTGATCCAGGTTATTTATATACATTAAAAACAGCACAGGTCCAATGAGTTCTGTGTACGCCTCACTAAAGAGTTGCCACCCAGAGCTTTCACATTCATTGTGTTCTTTCTTTAGAAGAAAGAAAAACACTTTTCTGTGTTGCCCAATTACCTCCCTGTGGCTGAACAGACCGTCGGTGCTATGCAGAGTTACTCAATATCGTTATCACCATGTTTCTGCGACCACCCTCCTCCCTAGTCCTAACCGTCTAGCTTCCAAGAACCTGAAATCGGCCCCAAAAAGGTTAGGCTTCAGGCTTAGGGCCGTGGTTAGTTCAATACCACGCTGATAATACCCTCTAAACATTTGATTTTAAGCTGCTGGGTGGCCAGAATGGCACTGTATCCATTTATGATTCTTCTGTGCGTTGCACACCTCCTGGCAGAAAGTACAGACTCAGGAAGTTGACTGAACTCTTTTTCAGCCTACACAGAGGGAGGTAAGCCACGTGGTGAGTCTGCGGGATTCCCTTGTCCTGAGACTAAGACCCGCCTTCCAAGGGGGGCGGGGGAGGAGGACAAAGGGAAAAGAAGGTACAACGTGGAGAGAAATGTCCCAGGAAAAGCCTTTGCTGGGAATGGTGTTTGGATGTATCAATTTCACCCAAGTGGTTCCACAAGCGTAGCTTCCATTTCAGATGAAACCAATTCATTGACAATCATGTGAAACAAGACCTTACAATTTACATCAAATTCTATTTTGCCTTTTGTTGCAATATACCAATCTCTTACAAAGAACAGAATCTCAAGGTGCAAAGGGGACATCTTCTGTGGCCTTTCACATGTGCTCCCCCCACCTCCTCTCCACCCCTCACTCTGAGACTCTTAAGTTTTCCTGGAAAACAACAACAAACACAGGTTAAACTGCCACACAACAGCTGAGGAGACAGCGCGCTCACTTCATTCATTACAAGCCACCCTCGTAACAACAAGCCTTCATTGTTAAACAGAAGTCCTTCAAGACAGGAATACCGGCAAGGAGTTATTGTGTCTAAGCTGGTGTTTACTGATATGCAAAGGAAAGGCCACCAAGTTCTACAACTCAGCAACAACAGCTGGACTTTAATCCCAGGACTTACCTTTTCTTTTCCTCCCACTTGTCTTCGCCCAGACCTTGTGAATGAAGATTCCTCATTTACTCTTTTGCTATTTGGATAACCAGCCCACACGGACATGTTGGGCTGTCAGATCTTCAGGTTACCTGAGGATTCTATCTTTTTAAACCCTTACATTAAAAATAACCCCAAATTCATACGTGTCATAAATGGTCTCAAAAGCCAAAACTGCAATCAAAGGATGTAAAGTGCTGAATAACATGACCATTTATTAAATACCTACATGTGTCAGGTGTTGTGTGAGGCATTTTACACATGTACCTTTTCTCATTAATCTCTCAAGGCCATCATGAAGTAGGTATCATTATCCAATTTGTCATGTGAGTCTAGGAAGCTAAGATGGCCCAGGAAAACACAACTGGCATTGAGAGAAGATTCAAAGCCAAGCCTTTATTCCAAAGAGCTCCTGAACTTTCTTGCCAGCCCACTAAGTTCCTCTCAAGGACCTAGTAGCAGACCTTGGGAAATAGTCCATTCCGTGACCTGGGAAGCATTCAGGCTAGGGGGTAGATAACTGGTTACCAGAGATGCCGCAGAAGGGATTCTAGCACGAAAGGCTCACGGAAGAGAGCAGCTCTCAGGTCTTCTACATCACTAAGAATCTCCAGACTCCCTCCTCTCCTAAGCACGAGATTCTGCAGTCATCTGAGGTGAGCTGAGTAATCAACACCCTTCTGTTTCTTGGGCGGATCAAAAGAACAAGCCATCCTTTGCTCGCTCTGCCATACCCGCCATCTCTCGCTCTCATTCTCTCTCTCCTACAGCTTTAGTTACACTGCCAGCGAGGAGACCCCTTCCAGGGCTTCCCAGCTTTAGTCTGAAGCTTCCAAAAGTGGGCAGTTACACCCTCCTTCCAAATGACGCTTCCTCGACATCCTTCAGCCATTAACAGAAATCACTATGTTACCCCTAAATTATCTTGTGACCCCATCAGACACATGCCCCCACCCACTCACCCATTCCAGTCCCTCTGAATTCTGTCCTTAACTTACACATCTGGCACCCCGAACACTTCACAGCACATGTATTTTTTAGGACAAGACAGGATATCAATAAGTAAAAAAGTCAACGAAGAAAGAAATCTGCCTGGTATTCATCCTCCTCCTTGCTCACAACCACGGCGGAAGAATCCAACACGAACCCATCACACATGTGCTCTTTTCACAAGCAGCGGGCACACCAGTGCAGGGGCGTCTGGCCTCAGCACCAAACAGATGCTCACCGAGTTCACTTCACCCTCCAACTCCAATGTCTATACTGTTCCAACCTTTTCCCGTTTCTTCCTTCACTTGAACCGCCACGTTTTCGTGTCAGATTTTCCTCTAGAAAGAAGGATGGGCCGTTAACCCCAGCCCACCTCCCCCCACCCATGATTGATGGCGGCTCGGAAGCCCGGTTTTACCATTGGAATCTTCCACTTCTTCGGCCGGGGTGGCTTTTTGGGAGGAGGAGTGGTGGGCGTGCGAGGAGAGGAGACTGACAATCCTCGGCCTGGGGAGGGTCAGGGCTTTTCCGTGGACCTTGAGGGAGTGTTCCTTCAGCTGGCTGATGGTCATGGTGGAAAAGGCGCACCAAGAACACTTGTAGGCGTGCTCACCTGGAGGGAGACGGTCGGCGGCAGGGGAGAGGGAGGGGACAGGGGACGAGGCGGGTGGAAGACAGAACAACAGGGTCAGTGACTCCAGAGAGCCCGTCTCAAGCTGCACGGTCTGAGGACCCTCCCAGACCAACCCCCTGCCCACTGCCACGACCACAGGGCTCCTGGAGGATCGGAACTCTTTTAGGAGCTCCGTAATCAAGTGACCTGGTCCCTTGCCATCTCATGCTTTGTTTACAGGGATGAGCCTACGGTAGGTTCCCCAGCAGAGTGAAACCAAATGTCTAGGTAGCTCCCTCGGCAAAGGCTTCCCGTCTGTCTCCCTCCCTCTCTGTACTAGAAATGACGATGTCCGTTTTCATTCCAGCCTTTGTATCATCCACAGAAAATAACACACTCCATTCTTATTCCAAGGGCCGATCGGTGGCTTTCCGAGCACGAAGTCACTCAGAGCAAACTGCCGTGCTATCCTCATAATTTACTTCCTTGCTGACTCTAGGCCTCCTGGATTCCACACATCCTACCCGTGGGGTTTTTTGGGACCAGTTCACGAACCTCAGCACAAAACTCCATTTCCCTATCTGATCAATAGTACAGAAATGGGTGAAAGTCATTTCTTTAACTGAGAGAGGTGTGCTTATATATATAAACGTGTGTCTGCATTTAGCTCCAACATTTTTCAATAAAAAGGACATGTAGGTAAAAATAAGTATTTTTCTTTCGTTAATTTTATTGGAGTCTAGTCGATTTACACTGTTGTGTTAGTTTCTGCTGTACAGCAAAGTGAGCCAGTTACACATATACATGTATGCACTCTCTTTTGGATGCTTTTCCCATATAGGCCATCACCGAGTAGCGAGTAGAGTTCCCTGTACAATACCTATACAGTAGGTTCTTATTAGTTGTCTATTTTATACATAGTAGTGTGTATATTTCAATCCCAATCTCCCGATTTATCCCTCCCTCCCCCTCCCGCCCCCTTGGTAACCATAAGTTTGTTTTCTACAAAGTATTTTCCTTTTAATTGTTTTTATACCACTGAAATACAGCACAGATCACTATGACCAAATTAAATGAGAGTATGATTTATCTTTGCCCTAAGTCAGCTTTTACATGAATTGCAATTTAAGAAGCGTGTGAAATGGGCATCCTTATGTCGCTGGACAGGCAAACACTGGTACGATCAACTCGGAAAGCAATTTTGCTTTTTATAACAATAAGCTTAGAAAGTTCATGCCTGCAACTCAATAATTCCACTTCTGAGAATTTATATTAAGGAAATACCCTTGAATACTTAGAAATCTCTGTTTAAAAATATACATTATTTATGCTTGAAAAAGGGGTGAAACAACCTAAATTTCCAACCACTGGGAAGTGATTAAGTAAATGTGGGTATATCTTCTTGATAAATTACTATTCATGAAAATAAATTCTCGAAGAGTTGACAATTCATAGAAAACTAAAATACTGAAACTCAGAAAAATAAACAGAAAAGCATAATACATTTTAGATTAAATTATAATCATGACTATGGAAAATAATTATAGAGGAAATGGTTGAAAGGAAGTATTATCAAACATTAACAACAGTGGTCTTCAGATAATAAGATTATGAATGGCTTGACTGTATTTCTTCTTTCATTTTCAATTTTTTTCTAATGAACATGTATTTTTAAAATTTATTTTCAAGTGAAACTTAAAAACCAGAGAAGAGGGAAAGGAAGGAGAGGAATAAGAGAAGAAAGGATTGTTAGTAACGAAGGTTTTGTGGACCAGTGAATATGAACTGAGGACAGCGCTGATGTGCTATAGACAAATGCTCACTAAAGCAGAGCAAGAATGAGCTAGTAAACCTCCACTCTTTTTTTTTTTTTTTTGCATGCGGGATCTTCCCGGACCGGGGCACAAACCCGCGTCCCCTGCATCGACAGGCGGACTCCCAACCACCGCGCCACCAGGGAAGCCCTAAACCTCCACTCTTGCTTTTACCCTGCTGAGATGGTTACTTTCCTGTCACCCCGAAAATTACTAAGTGGTTTCATGTGAAGTGAGACCAGCGTCTGAAGTCCCGCATTCAAGCCTCCTTTTCACCACTGATGACCCCCAAAGCGTGCATTTCCAAGAAAGCCTTGAAGAGACCCACACAAAACCTTGAATGAGGCAACATACTATAGCCCAGAGCAGAAGAGAAGCACAAAGAAGTCAGAGGACCCAAACGAGAACACCAGTCAATTCCACACCCCTCAGACCATGACCTGTTAGCTACAGGATAACGCTGGGTATGAATAACGGTGTTTACTGAAATAATAAATATATGTCATATTGTACACTACTGCTCTCCTTATTCCATTTCTCAGTTTTTCAGTGCAAACCTGGCCATATGAACCTTGGTGGGTGGTTATAAGTAGCATAAACTGAGAGAGAATTCAAATCCAGGTATCTGGTTAGTACACACTACCTTTTACCCTATAAAATAAAATAAAACACTCCATCTAGAACAGACGAGTCAAGAGTCTTCTGGAAGATGATTTGGCTTTCTCCAAGCCAAGCCACTCTCTGTAGCTAAGACCAAGTCATAGACACCAAAGGTTCAAGGTGTGTGGAGAACTGGATTACGATGCTCCCACCCTCTCTCTCTGGATGCTTCCTTCCTGCAAACCAGCGAGCACAGAAGACCAGTCTGCTTGGTCAGCTCTAAGAATATACACTTCAGCTCAATGCCCTGGACTCAGTGTGTAGCCTGTGGCACTTTTTTAAAGTCTTTCCCACAGGCCGAATCACTTCCCCAACTCCCACTGGTAAAGTGTTTTTGACAAGGCTGAGATCTTTGGGGAAAACTCCCCAGGATAGTGTCCCGAGTGAATAATTTACAATATACACCAGTTAGAAAAGAGTGGTTTGAACCCCGAAGCCTCTTACTCCATGGACTTTAGTAAAATGTTCTGGAAGATATAAAAATACTAACAGATAGAGAAGAGCCCATATAGCTAATCTGCCATCCCCTCCCCCACCCCCAGTGGGCTTAAGGCATCCTGAAGGCTTCCGTAGTTTTACTCCATTAAGCCAGTTCAACGGGACCCACCTTCAGGAAACAGCAGAGACGTGGCTGTATTTCCACAGGGGATGAGGACATGACAAAAGTGAAGGACTCGGGTTCTGGGCAGTTAATAAGAAGCTAACAAGGGAAGGGAAGCTAATCAGGGAAGGGAAGCAAATAAATGAGACAGAAGAATTCTAGTTGATTGAAAAATTTTAAACTAGAATTCAACTAGAATTCTAAACACCTTAGCTGAGGAAACTCAGCAGGGAGACTGGATCTCTAGAAGAATCTCTGACAGTATCGCTAGCTATTCTAAAGCTATTGGTTCCCCAATTTTCCTTTGTTTGTTGTAAGTTCCTCAAAGGCTGACAACACCTCTGAGAGGGCCACAGGCTGCTGCCGAGTCGGGCTTCTCAGAGGACTGGGGACATCCTGGGAGGAGGCCCCCCAGACCCTGCCACACTGCCTTTCTTACTCATGCCTCTTTTCCTCTCTTGGATGAGTTCTGATTAGCCACCTGTGGGCATCCTCCATCACATGCCAAGTAGAAAAGAGCAGAAGAGAGAGGGAGGCAGCATCCTGTGAGCGACAAGGATGTAGGCTTTTGTTCTGGAGTCAAATTCTTAGTGAATGGGCTCTGTGGCCTTGAGCAGGACACTGGGTTTTGAGTCTCTGTGGCTTCATCCGACACTGAGGGTGACAACATCTAACCTTTGGGGCTGCCCTGAAGATTAAATGAGATGATGAATATACCAGGCTTATTAGTACAGAGACTGGTACGTAAGGGATGTTCATGAGACGAGCACAATGAGATGGGATGATAGAGTGATGGAGATCAACACAACTCCTGGACACTCATGACCCAAGGTCATTTCTTATCTGGGATGTGGAAATGCATCTAAGGGCATCTCATGAGAAATCTCACACATCCTGAGGTCTCTGTGTCCCTTTGAACGTCCCCAAGATTATCACTTTATTTTAGTTGGAAATTATCTTCAGGAGATGTACCAATTCTTGCATTTCCATTAGAAAGTCCAGGTAATTTAGAAATTTCTCTAGAAAACAGAACCTGTGAGTAGCAAGAATCTGTCAGCAGGTATGTGTTAGTTGCATGAATCAACTATGACATGCGTGACACGGTACTTGGTATTATTTTGCCTTTGGGCCATTCTTTAATTTTTTTAATTAGATCAAAATAAAACTGAATACACAACCATCTCAAGAGAACCTTATTCTCATGTGTATGGAGCAAGAGACTTAAAAATTTCACTCACTGAAGACTATTAAATTTCCAACTCAGGGAACTAGTGCACCGCGAACACCAACTCACCAGCATGAGCTTTGAGGATGTGTGTCTTCAGCCGGCTGTTGTAGGAGGACTTGAAGGAGCAGAGCTTGCATCGGAATGGTTTATGGTGTCCGTGGTGGGTTTGCATATGGCGATCCAAACTTGATGCAGAAGAAAAGAAAAGGAAATGACAATATTAAAAATTGCACCCAACATTTTCTCATTGCCCTTTTCCAGAAATCCCATTTCTAAGCTGTTCAAAGTCATTTTGTTACTTTCCAAGGATGGTGCTTACAGGAGGGAAAAAACAAACAAACAAACGCAAACTGGCAAGAGTTGGAGAAGCTAAAGGAAAGAAGAGATCAAAATTTTTTTTGGATTGAGAGACATGGCAATGGAAACAGGTCTTGGTAGACTTATTTTCCCTTCTCTAAAGCACTGTGAAGTAGAAGAGGACGTCTAAAAAGAAAAGGTACAATATGGACAAATTTAAGTTTTCTGAAAAGTCAATGAGGTGCCTATCAAAGAGTCCTTGAACTTATACCATAAAAAAAAAAAGGGAATTAGAGAAATTTTGCATGTAAAAAAGGCTGACTTTCTTCTTAAACCTTAATTCCGCTGTGAACACTTGAGCAGGGCACTTGCAGTGGGCTATTTTCAAGGTCTTTCTAAATATGGAGGTCCAGTGCAGGTGTGTTTACAGGAAATCATGTGATCCAAAGGCTGGCCATGCCTTCTGATAAAACCATGTTTGCTGTACATCCGTATTCCAGAAGCAACTTATAAAGAAATGATTTAATTATAATTTCCCAGTATTTCATAATAATTACTACTCTAAAAAAATAATAAATCTACCAAACGAGGTGTGGGAAGATGTTCTAATTTAATTTGTTATCAATGCCCCGGAGAACTAGATTCCATTCTAAATAACTCATATGGGAACAGTACTGCTTACCATTTAAATACATAACGTTCTCCCAAGCTCCAAGGCAGCCCTTTCCACACTGCCTAAGGACACCACCCGCTGAATGTCCTTCAGCTATCTTAAACTCAACCAGCCTGAAACAAACACGTCAGTTTTTTAAAATCCCAAACAAATTCTCTTCTTCATTCCCTTCTTTGTAGAAAGAACCCTTCCAAGCTGTCAGTCAACCGGCCTGGAAACCTCCGTGCCATTTGTACTGTACTCTGTCCCTCTTCCCCTCCAGTAAGCCAATTTTCCCAAGACATGAAGATCCTCCTTCCCTCAACTGTTCCCAAACTTCCATTCTAACTTCGTGGATCAGCTACTATCACTGCCTCCTAATTGGTCTCCCCCATCTTTTTTCCAACTCAAAAGCACAAGCGATGGAGTCAGACTGCCTGAGATCAAATGCCAGCTATTACTCATAAGCCGAGTGGCCTTGGGCAAGTTCCATAACCCCTCTGTATTAAAAGGCCTCGCTTCCCTTATCTAGGAAAGGGAGATGATAATGGGACCATACCTCATAGGGCTGTTCTGAGAATAAAATGAGATAATACTTGAAGGCACGTAGCACAGTGCCTGGCACACAGTGAGGCTCAATAAATGTTAGTGATTAAGATGCCTTTACTCGTTTCAGAGTCTTCCTTTTACCAGTAATGTGTATTACAAAGCACTAATTCTGCATTCAAAGACCCCCCAAATGCAGTCTCTACTCAGGTATTCAGACTTTACCTTCTACTATTCCTTTACATATCACTTAAAAATTAGTCCAACTAGACCGCCAGCTGGTCCCTCCTAAGCATCGATCTCTTCCTCAGGGCCCTACTCTCTCATCGTTTCCTCCACGTTGCATGTTCTTTCCAAACATGGCAGGTCCTGTCTTCCTACTTCAAGACTTGGCTCCAGTGCTCCCTGTTCCATAAAACCTTCCCGATTCTTCCAAAGTAGATGTACCATCTCCCTTCTTTGAAACTTCATTGCATTTTATTGATACTTTTTTTTTAAAGACATGTGCCTTGTTTTGCCAAGTCATTTGCGTGCTTGCTTTACTTATAACCCGACTAGACCCTAAGTTCCCTGAGATCACCGACCATGTCCTATTCATCTTTATATTCCCCCAAAGCCTCAACAACAGGGCATATTTATTCACAACGATTTATTGAGGTTGTGTGTGTCAGAAAACGTTGAGAGTTGCTGTCCGACAAATACTTATCGAACGGATGAGAACTACACAAGTTTGAGGCCAGGGCATGAATCTGATGACAAAGATTGGATACTAGGCTCTGTATAATCATAAAAGAGTTTGCAACCCATCCTAACCTCTGTGGAAGCATCACCCCTTCCTGCCTTTCAACAGACACTAACTAGCACTTTATCTTTTTTAAGAAGCAAACAGCCCATCACTTATTTTCAATTATGATAAAAATAAACAGCGTGTCAGTCTCACCATCAGTCACCTTCATCCAAGACTGCAGAACACGTTATTGAAAAATTTCTTTCTCATACAGTCGCGAGAGAAAGGCAACAAAAGGTTGTTTCTTCTCAGAACCATCCCTCTTCCTATCGCCCCGAAAAGCCTCACACAAAAACCCAAATTTTCAATTTCAAAGCTGTGCCAGGTAGCAGGAAGCTCCGTCTCCTCAACCCACCCTGTACCTCAGGCACCTCTCTGGCATCGATAAACTTCTTTACCATTCCAGGTCTTTTTAAAAATGCCAAGCAATGACCCTTTGGTCACATGGGTTTAAAAGTCCTAATTTTACCTCCTTAGCCGCTTAGAATTTCCCAAATGGAACTTTACTTCCTCAAATGATGGTTAGGTTCTGGATCAATGTTCGACAGACGCACCAGTAAACTCATCTACCCTCTGGTCTTTCCTTGTGTAAGTCACAGCAATACCTCCAAAATTATCATTTAAGAAAATGCCCAATTTAGAAAACTCTAATTCAAAGAGATACATGCACCCCAATGTTCACAGCAGCTCTATTTACAATAGCTAGGACATGGAAGCAGCCTAAATGTGCATCGACAGACGAATGGATAAAGAAGATGTGGCACATGTGTACAACGGAGTATCACTAGGTCATAAAAAAGAATGAAATAATGCCATTTGCTGCAACACGGATGGACCTAGAGATGATCATACTAAGCGAAGTAAGTCAGACACAGAAAGACAAACACCACATGATATCACTTGTATGTGGAATCTAAAAAACATGGCACAGATGCACTTATTTACAAAACAGAAATAGACTTACAGACATAGAAAACAAACTTACGGTTACCAAAGGGGATAGCGGGGGCCAGGGAGACCGAATTAGGAGTTTGGGATTAACAGATACACACTACTTCAGGGGTCCCCCAAGCAGGCCGCACAGCAGAAAGTGAGCGGCGGGGGAGCGAGTGAAGCAAGCTTCATCCGCCACTCCCCATCGCTCACATTACCGTCTGAACCAACCCCCCCGCCCCGCGGAAAAAACTCTCTTCCAAGAAACTGGTCCCTGGTGCCAAAAAGGTTGGGGACCGCTGCACGACTTTATATAAAATAGGTAAACAACAAGGACCTACTGTATAGCACAGGGAACTCTACTCGATATTTTGCAATAACCTGGAACGGAAAAGAGTTTGAAAAAGAATGCGTATATGTATTGTGTGTGTGTGTGTGTGTGTGTGTGTGTGTGTATAACTGAATCACTCTGCCGTACGCTTAAAATTAACACAACCTTGTAAATTAACTACACTTCAATTTTTTTTCTAAATGCCCGATTTCGCCAAATCTGATGTCAGGCAAACAATCTCCTGTTCTCAGCCCCATTTGACAGGTGGGGTGACAGAGGCTCAAGGTAACACAGCCAACTGAACGGCAGGCCTGAACCATGAGCGAGGCCTTCAGACGCCTCCAAGCGCTCCTGCCTTCCACCTCCTCCAGTTACCACTTGCACCCACTCGGTGAGCACTTACTTGTGCCTGAAAGCAGAAACAAAGGAGCAATACTGGCAGCTGTACTTGTCCTCGCGGGTAAACATGGCCAGGGCCAGATGGCTCCTCTCATGAGAACGCAGCCCCTGCATGGACATCAGGACTCTGTCACATTGACTACAATGGTATCCCCCCGGCCGGGTTTCATCCTCCAACATTCCATCAAGCAAGCAGTGTTCACCATCCACCCGGTCCGCCAGGGCGCCACTGGCATCTTTGGCTGCTTCCAGTCCATCCAGGAACAAGTGGGAAGGGTCTTCAGCCTCCTGCTAAGAGAACCACACACACACACATGCCCCACCAACAAAATAAATATCCATCATCATTGCTCCCAGCTCTCCTCCTCTCCCTTCATTCTCCCAAACTCCTGTTAAGCATTTCCTGTTAAGGCTTCCTCCCCTGCCTCTCCAGCTCCCCCTAGAGGGAGGGCAAACCCAACTGCCATCCTTCATGCAGTGGTGGTGATGTGAGGGCAACATATCCGGACACAGGTTGCTACTGTCTGGGAAAGGTGAGGGAGCGGCTCTCTCACTTTGAAGACAGTTCACTCACTTACCTTCTATCTTAAAGAGAAAATTCAAATTGGGATCCTACCGAAACTGATACAAAGCAGGTTAGGGTTACTGGCTCAGAGAAAGGAAGAGAGGAAGGAAGGGGAAAAAGGAGAATGGTGTGGTATGGGCACTTGGGAGCCTTGGAACACCCTCGGGAAATGAAGGAAACTGGAAGATCCAGCTCTCTGCCACCACGCTCATCCCCATCTCACAGGCGGTGACATCACCCCTTGACTGAAGGTTGCTGTACAATCAATTCAAAAAATTAAGAAGCAGCCTAGCCTGGTTTGGGGTGGCTCCTTCGGATTACCGATTACACGGGAAGAGCCGCTGTCTCCCTTGAGCAATTATGGGACGCAAGGCTGGGACACACCCTGGTGGCGGGCAAGAAGCTGACCGATGCTGTCCCCGTGCCACTCACTGCTGTGCCGCCAGCCGCAAGGCTTCAGTCTTCAATGGGAAGAGCGGAAGCTTCGCCTCCATGCCACATCGGCAAGACAGGACTCAAGATCAAGAAGGGCCGATGACAGAAATGCATTCACGTATCGGGAGAGAGAGAGCAGAGCCCTGAACTGACTTCTCTGCTCAACGCTAAGTGGTTAGCAATACCCTGGAAGGTGGGGATGGCAGCTTGGTCACTGAAACAGTGGCTCATTTTAGGATTATGAGCTTCAAACCAGGTGGCCTAATACTGGTCGGGGGCAGAGAGAAGGTGCTCGCCAGCAACGCAGAGGGAGAGGGGGCGGAGGAGACAAATCAGGTCAAAGGGCTCACAGGGCCAACTGTGACCTGAAGGCTTTCGGTTTTAGATTTAACGTTTCTGAACGCTCCTCCGGGGACCCAGGATAAGAAGTAAAAGACAGATTCTCCCGGGCTCTCTGCACCGTCGCCAGACGAGAACAGCAAGAAGTCAGGCAGTGGGAGGCGCAGAAGAGGATGGGAACAGAACCCACTGGACTCCTCTCAAGAGCCCGGGCCGCTTGCAAAAGCGAACACCTAACGGCACTAAATGCAGCATAGAAGGGAGACCCAAGGCCTCCTGTACCGAGAGGCCCGGATCTTCTGTTTCCACCAGACTATCCGCGTGGAAGGGAACCAGATCGAAACGCAACCGGGTCGAAACACGGAAGATGAGGAGGATCCAACCTGTAAAGAAATCAAAACAAGCCAGACCGATCCCAGCATAACTCAGAAACGCCCACATTTGGGGTCGCCCTTTCCTGAGCGGCTCTGAGCAACGGCGTGAATTAGGAACTCGAAGGGCTCACACACAAGACTCCTCATCCAGACCTTCCCAGTGCTCACCTTCACGGCGGCTGACACGGCCGGGACACTGCCGTACTGGACGTGCTTGCGCAGGTGGTTGCAGATGGCCCGGAGCGTCGGATGCACTTCCACACAGAATTTACATTTGTAGCCCACCACCTTCCTCTCCTTGATCTTTGGCACCTCTTCTAAGTGACCAAAAGGCTGGTAAAATACAGTGGTAGCCATCAGTACTCCGAGCCCTCCCTCAATGGCCGGCATTTATTCTTGCAGCTTACTAGCAGATTTTACGTTAAAGCAGATTAGCAGGTTAAAAACCAAGGGAGATAACACGGCGAGCAGTTTTACATAACAGATTCGTCAGGGGCGAGGCGCGCTGCCCACTGTGCACGCGCGCGCGCGAGAGAGAAGTCTCCAGAACCCAAACAGGTTACGACTTGTGAGGAGAGAAGATCTCGGTGCTGAAGCCTCATTGTCACTGCCACCAAGTTATCTGGTTTTCAAACCAATTTTTCAACTACACAGGTGAAACGTCGCATAGCTACGCCATTAGCGAACTTCTTGACCAAAAAAGAAAAAAGAAAAAGAAAAAAAAAAAAACTCTACTCCTGGAGACGTTAGGTTCCTGTAGCCAACACTGCAAACCAAGACATGGCTGAGAAGCGCTAACGATACCAAGAGACGGCCCGCAACTGCCTTGGGAAAGAGAGCGAGCGTTGTCCTGTAACTAGGCCTCGGATAAGGCTACTTGGCAGAGAGAAATACAGAAAAGCCACCCGACCCTCCCCTGGGGAACCTTGGGAGGGGCGAGAGGGAGGGGGCCGGGGAGAAGGGTGAGCGTAGAACGCGGGGGGGATAATCAAGCTCGAAATGTTTAATTGACTTATTGAGCTCTCTGGCAGGCTAAGTCACTAGGAAGCCCGTAGCGGTTTGGCTGGCAGCGAAGACGTGCATGTGGGCACCAGTGATGAGAGGCCTCCTGGGGGAAGGGAAAGCAAAACATATCCTTACCCTCTCTTGTTTGAAATCTGCAAAAGCACCATCTGCATATTTCTGCTTGCTCAAAAGCTGTTTCCTCCTCTCCTGACGTTTGGCACGCTTCTGGAATTCCTCATTGTGAATGTTCAAGTGTGAGGTCAGCTCCGCCGTGCTTTGCAGTTTGCTATCGCAGTGCTTGCACTGGTAGGCGGAGCTCTGCGGGCGGGGGCCGCCGCCCAGGATGACGAAGTCCCTCTTGAGGTCCCGGCTGTGGTGGTCCGTGTAATGCATGCACAGCAGCTCCGCCGTGCTGAAGGACAGCTTGAAGCACTTGATGCAGCGGAACGGGAGCCACTCGATTTCCTGCCCTTCGCTCCCCTCCACCTCGGCTTTCTCGAAGCCGCCTCTCTCCTCCTCTTCCATCAGCACCGGCTTCTCGTGCTCGTCGGCGTAGACGGCGGTGAAGTAGCCCCCCAACTTGCTGGCGTGCTGCTTCTTGGGGAACACCCCCGGGTGGCGCTTCATGTAGTGGGACACGATGCCCTTCTTGCTGAAGGACTGGAAGGGGCACAGGGAGCACTTCTTCTTCTCCACGGCGCGCCGGAGCTCCTCGCTGAGCTGCGGGGAGTCGTCCTTGGGCGGCGACGGGATGATCACCTTGTTGGGCTTGTCGCTGATGGTCCTGGAGGCCGCCAGGCAGTGGGTGTAGTAGGCGTCGATGTCGTGGCGCTTCTGGTAGTGGGCGGCCAGCCCTTTGCGGATGGGGTTGGTGTAGGCACACAGGGCGCACTTGAAGAGGTTGTTCTTGCCCTCAGGCTGGGCGCGTACGTTGTTGTGCTTGATGCGGTAGTGCCGGGCTATGCCCTTCCGCGTGGAGCAGAAGTACTTGCAGAGCTGGCACCGGAACACAGTGTGGGACACCAGGTGCGAGGTAGCGAAGTGAGACGTGGACACGGGCTCCTCTCCCACCTCGTCCTCGGTCACGGAGACTTGGGAGGGGCTCACTTCAGTGGTTATCTCGGGCGCGAGGGTCACGGGCAGCTTCGGGGGAGACTGGGAAAAGACATCGAACTCAGGCTGGTTGTGGTACTTCTCGTAGTGGATTTTGAGCTTCTCCAAAGTGCCGTGCGTGTAGGGACACAGTTTGCAGCGGTAGGCGCCGTACCCTTGCTTGAAGATCCTGCTCGTCTCCTCCACGTCGTTCTGGGCTATGTCGGCGGACTGCTCCACGTCGTGCACGAAGTCCTCGGCAGTCACCTTGATGGACGGGTGTCGCTTCTGGTAGTGGGTCAGGACGCCGTGGATGCGGGTGTTGATGTAGGGGCAATGCCTGCATTTGTAGACGGCGCCCGGGTTGATGTCGATATCCTGGGCAAAGTCAGCAGCCTTCACTTTCATGCCTGGGTGCTTCTTCCCATAATGGGTCAGAAGGCCGTGCAGGTTGTTATACTCAGACTGGCACACGGTGCACTGGTACGGGGTAGAGGAGATGGCGGGGTTGGCTGACGCTAGCTGGAGGCTCTTCTCTGGGGAAAGCCTGGCATCCTCGGGGCATTCAGCTTCCTGCTCGGGGAGCGGGGCAGGCATACTGTTTTCACAATTCACAGGGCCCACGAGCTCTTCAGGCGCCGGGATGGGATTCTCGACAGCATCTTTCTCCTTGATGATATCCAGCAGCACGGACTCGTCCCCATTCATGGCCCAGGGGTGGAACGCTTGGTAGTGATTGGTGATGTCCCAGATGGAGACGGCCTCAAAAACACAGTCTCGGCATCTGTACGTTTTGGCTTCAGCTGGCATCGTGAGAGAGGGAGGGGATGGGTCTGGCCCAGCCCAGAGCTTGGTGGCCATGTACGTATAATCAACGTAATGCTCGGGATGCCTCCTCTGGTAATGGAGGAGCAAACCGTTGGGATCTGTGTGGGAATAGATGCACCACTCGCAGTGGTAGCCAGCTTCTATCAAGCCATCCAGAAATGCCCACCGCATGATGGACGTGACCGTGGCCTTCAGGGCGGGGTGGTCTTTCTTGATATGCTTCCTCAGGGCGTAAAAGTAGGGGGAGGTGTACGAGCACTGACGACACTTGAGCGCCCGGAGTTTCGTTCTGTCCCGCTCCACGTTCGAGGGGGGGACCAGCACGCAACCGGCAGGCTTCTTCTGGTTACGGTCGCAGAGGCTTCGGATGGTGGCCGTGTGCTGCCGGATCACGTCCGCGTTGGCCTTGAAGTCTCGGTGCTTCTTCTGATAATGGATGAGGACACCTTTGACCGTGCGGTTCCCGTAATCACAGTGCTGGCAGAAGAACATCTCACTCTCCGCGGGAGGGCCGTCTCTCTCGGAGCCGCTCCGGCTGAGCTGCTGCCTGGGGGCCGGTGCCCGGGGGGAGCCTTGGGGCCCATCGGCCCCTCGCGTCATTGCGGCTGTGGGAGGAGCCTGTCTGATATATTTGGCGGTAACCTTTATCTCTGGGTGTCTTTTCTGGTAGTGGACAAGGACTCCCACAACTGACCGATTGCTGTAGGAGCAGTGTTTGCAGTAGTAAAGCTCGGTACCGAGGTCTGGTGGCGGGGGCGGTGGGGGGGGTGGGGAACCCATGGCGGATATTTTGGGAGACACTGGAGCACCCACCTCAAATGACAACCGAGAAAGGGCAGAGCCCCTGTCCACAGACACCATTCGCATGGTTTTCTGGATCCTAAAGTAGGAGGCCTTTTCTTCCGGGTGTTTCTTCTGATAATGAACCAACACAGAGTGCATGTTGGGGCTCGCGAAGGAGCAAACGTCACAATCGTACACGACAACGGTGCTGACCGAGGGGTCCTTCTGATTTTCACATTCTGGAGGAAAGGTCTTGGAAGGGGTGTTCTTAGGGAACGGAGCTGGCACCCCGCCGCCACGGGCCACGGCAGCGGACGCGGCCATGTTCTTGGGAGCCGAATTCAGGATCTCCCTCAGCGTCTGGGACTCCGTGTTCGGCCCCTCCTGCTGCTCCACCACGTAGCTCGAAAATATCATCGCATTGTTAATCTTGACGGTGGGGTGCATTCTCTGGTAGTGCGGCATCAGGCTTCGGACGTTGGGGCTCGTGTAGGAACAAAACCGACACCGGTAGATCAGGTCCGAGTGGTCGAAGTTGAGGACGTTCATGGCTTCTGGGTGGTGTTCGCCATAATGCTGCTGCAGGTCTTCGAAGTTGGTGTAATCGATGTAGCACTCCAGGCACCTGTACACTGCACTGTGATCGTTGGGGTCCAAGATGTACCTGAAGCTGAATTTAATGTACGGGTGCATGCGCTGGTAGTGGGTGCTGACGCTCCGGGCAGATTTGTTGTTAAAGTCACAGTGTTTGCAATAATAAAGCCTTCCCGAGTCGCTAAAGTCCGCGTTTTCATTACCGTGCTCAGTTCCGTAGATAGGAGTCTGGGTGTTGAGCAGAGCAGCGCTGGAAACCTGGTGATCTTTCATGTTCGTGGAGGAGCCATAATAATCCTCTTCGTCTTCCGAAAGGGTGAGCTCTATCTCAGCCCCGTTGGTGGCATTGTAATCGTGGGTGACAGTTCTGAAGTTGGGCTCCTTCTGGGGCTCAGGGGCGTCTCTCGCCCAGATCTGCTGCGCTGAGAAGGACGTGGGCACCTCCAGGACGGGCTCCGGTGGCTCTTCTTCCCGGTCCAGCTCCACCTCGATCTCCACCTCGTTGTCTTCCTCCTCCTCCTCGTCATCCTCCACGTTGATCACCGCATCTTCCTGCTGTTTGGTTTGGTTAATTCTGCTCTGCAGGTTGCTCGCTATCTCGTCAATCCGGGTCCTCTTCTTCACGGGCGATAAGTCGAGAGGAAAGTCATTAGCGAGTTTCCTAGAGGCCTTAGCTACAAAATTGTTCTTGGAGGACAGCCCAAGAATTGAGGTCTGACTTTTCTTCACAGTGTTGCTGGAAGAGGGGTGGCTGTCTGTCTCGCCGTCCGCTGGCAGGCTGGAGGGCTGCCCCTCGAATTTTGGCAAGTTGTCGCAGAAGGAGTGTTTGTGCTGCTGATGCACCCTCAGCCCTTTCAGCGTCGTGGTGGAGTAATTACACATGGTGCACTTGTAGGGGTGCAGGGGCGGGGCCTGCGCGGGCGGCGGGGGCGGGGGCGGCTGCAGCTGCGGCGGCTGAGGCTGTGACGGAGGCGGGGGCGGCGGCGGCGGCGGCGGGGGCGGCTGTTGCTGCTGCAGGGGCTCCAGCACGACCCCCGCCTTTCTCCCATTGATGCTCGAGCTCTCGTAAGACACGACACCTTCGTGCAGCGGAGAGGCGATGCTTTCACTCTGGGAATTCACGGCATCCCAGTCTGACGTTGTACCCGTGTGACACTGTTTGTGAGCCCCAAGTTTTAACGAGCTCTTGCAAGTAAATGGACATTCATCACATTTGTAGACGGCTGTCTTTCCGGATAAGTGGATGTTTTCTATGTGACGGGAGATGCTACGTCGGTGCATGGTGAGGAACGGACAAAAGGGGCACTGGAACCTGTTCATGAATCTTCTAAATGGGATCCCCTTGGTCTCCAATAATTTGTTGCCCTCTGAGCCCATCAGCTGCTCCGCGGACATGCCTGCTGTCTGATGATCCAGAGCAGTTAAGCCATTCTCACTGTCTATTTCATTTAACTCTTCGTCGGAACTAGAGTCATTCAGCATGCTGTTAGTTTCCAGGTCGGCAGAAGAATTGGTCATGTCAGTCATCCCGTAACGGGATCTCTCCGCCAAGTTGACGAGGCCAGAATTGTGAGGTGACTTCGGCTTCATCTGAGGGTAAGACATGGGCGAAAACTTGGAAGCGGAAGAAGAATTGGGTCTCATGATGGAGTTGCCGATGGAGCCCCTGAAGGTGGAGACGTTAGTGTTGGGTAGCTCCCGGCTGGCAGCATTCACAGACAGATAGGTGGAGTTAGACGTGGGGCTGGGAGCGTTCTTGTTCTGCACATCAGGCAGATTAGTCCCTTCTTGCTGCTGCCTGAGACTGGACAGGATCTTGACCATGCTGCGGTGTTTCTTCATCATGTGGTCACACCAGCGTTCCCGGCGGGGGGTCTGATAGCTGCACCACTCACAGCAGAAGTTGCCTCGAGACTTGGTCAGAGGCTTGACCATCGATTCTAGGATGCTGCGCTCCACGACCTCCGCCGGCAGCTCCTTGCAGGGGTCCTGCAGGGACACGGGTGGGACCACTGGGTCTGGCATCGGAGCAGGGGCAGGGGGAGGAGCAGTGGTCTCCTTCAAATTGTTTTTGTGATACATCTTCTGATGCTTAATTATTCTTGCCCTCCTTGGTGACTTGTATGTGCAAAACTGGCAAGAGAAGACCTTTCCGAATCCCTCGTGCATCATGATATTATAATTTAAGGATCCTGGAACAGGAGGTCCCGCCGAACTCCCTTCAGCTTGAGCCCCGTGGACCTTCCTAGTGTGTTCAATGAGGAGGTTTTTTGACCTGAAGTAGCGTACGCAGAACTTGCATTGAAAAAACTTGTTTGTTGGTTTGGGATTAGAGGCAATATGCTGACCGTAATATCCTGGACTATGGCCATAGTAACTTCCGGTCCCCAATGCCGTTGCATTTTGACCTAAAGAGAAGGCATAAGGTAAGTGGGAAGAGAAAAGCATAGCAAAAGCGAGTCAAGAAATTCAATCATGCAAATCCATTTTCTTCTCAATTATCCTTCATTAATAAACATCACATTCAAAAAGCCTAACATCTCAAGATGAGGCCCTGAAGAGTATTAATGAAGCATTAACGAACATAAACACGTTGCTTCTCACGGACGGAAGGCAGTGCTCGGCTTCAGGTGCAGGAGTCTCCACATCTCGATTCATGTGCCACAGAGCTATGAAAATGCAAGTTTCACAAACTGCAATATTCATTCTAGAACTTTCCAAGATACTACCCTGTGCTCCAAACTGAAAGGAAGCTAAGAAACAGAGGAAGCTGAAAGAACAATAACCTGGGCTACTTAAGAAGAGAAACGTGATGCCCAAACCACAAAAATGGCTCACAAGTGGGAATTCCCTGGTGGTCCAGTGGTTAGGACTCAGCGTTTTTCCACTGCCGTGGCCCAGGTTCAATCCCTGGTTGGGGAACCTTTAAAGATCCCACAAGCCTTGCAGCGTGGCCAAAAAAAAAGAAACTCTGTAGGAACCGTGCATGTCAAGAACCACGGCTACAGGCTCCTCGGTAGTGTATGTAGCCTGTTGCCTGTACTGGTTGCCTTAAGGGACCTTGGAGACAGCCCTTTCCAGTGGACATTCATGACTGGCATGTTGTGCCCAATCTAGGCTCCAGACAGGTATGTGCGGTGCCTTTGAAAAGCCCCAGGGCACAGTGGCCAGGGTCCACGCTGGCCAAGTCATAAGGTCCATCCGCACCAGACTGCAGAACAAGGAGCATGTGATTAAGGCCCTCCACAGGGCCAAGTTCAAGTTCCCTGGCCACCAGAAGAGCCACATCTCCAAGAAGTGGGCATTTACTAAGTTTAATGCAGATGAATTTGAAAACAAGGTGGCAGAAAAGCAGCTCATCCCGGATGGCTGTGAGGTCAAACACATCTGTAATCCTGGCCCTCTGGACAAGCGGCGGACCCTGCACTCATGACAGCCTTGGCACCGTCCCCTCCTTACTCACGCCCACCAATAAGTCCTACTCTCCTGTCCAAAAAAAAAGAACCACGGCTACAGGCTCAAAATAGATGAGGGCGGTGAAATACATCAGATATGCCGAGCCTAGGACAGATTTACCTGATAAGTCCTCTGCAATCACAAATTCATCCTTTATAGACGAAAACTCCACCTCTGTCTGGTTACTGGCATTCATGGACCCAGATCGCGGCTCATTCGCATTGTCTTCGGCAACGTCCGTCGGCTGCAGAAATGCCGTGTGGACATCCTGGATATGCGCCTTGAGATCTTCATAAGACGGGGCTCTAAAGTCACAGCCATCGCACTGAAGCACCTCCATCATCTGGGTCTACCCTCTCACATTAGGAACCTGCGGTGGCAGAAGGCAGACGAAACACCTTAAGGCCTGCGCTCGTCGCGTACCCCAAGCTGCTGGGGCTACAAGTCCATTAATGGAAGAAATTCCAATATCGGCCATTTCCTCTCACTGGACTTTGTCAGATGGAACACTGGCCAAAGAAAGGAAATCAGACATAATAGGGATGGTGTCCTTGACTTCCTAACTTCAAAGAAGGGGGGAAAAAACCAGGCAAACTCTTTCTAGCTTGATGTATCTGCAAGTGCCATGTGCCAAAGAAACCCCTAATACTTCAAAAGTTTTAGTAGTTTCTGAATTTCTTGACTGAATTCAGATTTCTTGGTAGGTTAATACTGACTTTGATTCCGGCTGGGACCAGTTTTATTTTTGAACCAGAATCTTCTCAGAAGTAAAGAGGTGGCCCATACAGAAGAAAGGACAAACTTCACTCTTCATTAGCTGTTTTAATACTATAAAACATTGATGTTTTATCACCAAACGGTGAAACAGTACTGAATCTCTGAGTGGCAGTAGGAAAAGCTTTTATTGTACCTTTTTATTCTTCTACTCTCTTAACTGATATTGCGGTACACCTCCTTCTTCCCTTCTTTAAACGGTTTATTTTTTTTTTTCATGAGCTAAATGGTTATTTGCTTTTTACTACCTACCAATTATAACCTAACAGCTTCTCCAATCTAATTAGGTCATAAAATATTTCTCAAGAGATTCTTAAACAACCAACTTTAGATGACAATCCAGTTTCTAGTTTCAGGTTGCACCTCGGTACCTCGATTTACACTAAGGCAACAGAAATGCACGTGGTTTGGAAGAAGGGCTTCTAAGGCAGGACTTTCTCTTTTTCTACTTCTCCCCTTTACAAATGTGGAGTGCATACTTGGCCATAACAAGCAGTGAACCTGATTCAGAATAAAGTAAAACTTGCCCGGCTGCCTCTGTCCTGCTATTTACTGTGTGATTGAAAGATACAGATAGCTTCACACGAACTCAATGGAGCGGCCCACCATCAAGAAGTTAAAAATGTATGAGAAGGCATACGCCTTCCTATCTTAAGTTGAGATACCCAGTTATTATCTTAATGACTGAGTTACTTCACTGAGCTCATAGCAAACTCTACTGAGTCACTGTAATCTAGAACCAGATGTCCAAGAACAAAAGCCACAAGCCAAATCTTTCGATACTTTGATCGTACAGCAACTTTCTATACTTTTATTGTAAAAGATCAATGATTTCTGCAGGAAGAATACAGTGGAGAAATCTGTCAATGCAGTGAAAGGAGCTAGGGCAGGAGGATTTTCTCTGAAAGAATGCTCCTGTGAAAATAACTCCTGGCAAGTCCAGCTCTGGACAGCCTGAGCTTGCAGAGTGAGACACACAGAGATTTACCTTCTCCCCTTTCACCCAGCAATTTCTCCTTTTTTTCAATAAACCCTGAACTGTGCACCAGAGTCCCTGTCAGCTAACTCAGCCTCCATATTCCCAGCCACACCAGCTTTTCTGTCTCTGCACCAACCCAAATTGTGTGGAAGAGGTTGCTATCAGCTCTGGATCAAATTACAGCCGTCACCGAGGCCCCACCCCACTTCTCCTTTTCGCACAGCCCATTAGACCTGAACACAAATTTTTCCATAGTGCAGACGACTCCTGCATTTAGAACACTTCACGGCAAAAAGGCAGATCATCCAGTGTGCGCTCCCCATCCCCCCAGCTTAGTCCTTTCATCTCAGCCAAACAAGCCACAGCTCTGCTGAATGTGTTTATCACACTTTCAAGAGATAGGAGCTCCTGCGTCACTGGAGCTCTAAGTCTCACTAAGCTGCCCTAGTCCTCTGAGCTTTAGGAGCGGCCATTTTAGCTCAGAGCCTCCCTTCTGAGCACAACATGGCTTCTCTGGGATGGATGCTGCCAGGCTGCCGGGCCGAGGCAACAGGAGAGGAGCAGCCTGGGCCCCTCCTCTGCCCTCCTCCTCCCAACAAAGGAGGAACTGTTTTCACTCCTTCCCGAAAAAGCAGCACCTCTCTCCTCCTCAAATGTCATTCACCAGGATCTCCGAAGGTTCTTTTATCCCATGCCTGATGGGCTAGTTCGTTCATCCCAGCACAGCCCTGGTTACCGCAGGACGTTCCTGGACCAGACCCTGTTCTCCAGCTGCCTTTGGGGGTGGGCTGGAGGGGGGAACCTCCAGAATGCCTTGGCTTCTTGGGAGTCGTCCTTCCACACACAGAAGACATACCATCCGACTCTGCTTGCCAGATTCCAAAGTCTAATGACCTTTGTTAATCACCAGCCAGTCTGTCTGCATGAGCAGACCCTGCCAACAGGCACACCCTTCAACACAAAGGCTGTAGCTATTCCTTTTAAAAGAGGTTCTCTGAAAGCTCCATTGTGTAGCCGAGAGCAAAACAAAATCTCTTCCCTTCAAAACTTCAAGCCTTTAGAAATAATGCAACAAAAGGCTTTCTGCTGTGTGTCTTTTGGAAAGTTTGAGCCTAGTTCGCACAACATCCACCAAAAAAATGACAGTTCTGCCCAAGGAAAGCAGGGCACCTTTGGCATTAAGTCATCCACCCCGAGATGAAATTCATCTCTCTGCACGGTTCTCTAATATCTTGGTGTCTTCCGAAGCTCTTAGCAAGGATTCAAACTTCGCTGGATGCAAACAAACCAACGGTCTCCTTGTTCTGCTACAAAGGAGATTAAAGGGTTAGGAGATCAGGAAAAAAAAAAAAAAGCCACTGATTTGGAAAAAGAAGAGATGATGAAAGTGATTTCCTAATAGGTTCTAGCTTTAATGTTGTTGCAGACTCTACCTCAAAAATAGCACAGAGCCTTAGAAGAGGTTAATCTCCAGGCTGCCCAGAGAACCAGTGTCTGGTTACCACTGAATGGCCTTCAATTGGATGTCTGCACCGAGTCCTCAAATGAGGACGTAGCCTCCTCTGAAAGCCATTTTGTCTTTGTGCACACATTGCTCCTGGAGACGCTGACAGAAGAAAACAGAAATTGCCTGCATGGCCTAAACAATCAAAGACACAGAAACTTGATGTGTTTATGAGACTGAGGACGTACACATGGGCAAAAAGTGAGAGGAGGGAGGCGGAGACAGAACAGGGGAGGAGAGAGACAAAGAAAGCTGGACCTGAGGATGACCCATCCATCAACTCGAGGATGTTTTTGCAGCAGATGGTAATCCTCTGAGAAACCAACAACAAAGATGGGAACAAAGATGAGAAATACTCTCTTGCATATTTGACTGTTTCATCAACCGAGAAAGAACAGCAACCCTAAAAGGCTACACCAGACACTGAGCTGCTACCAAATGACGATTTCAAGTTAAAAGCCTTGATCTCCTATCTATTTACTTTATTTAAAAATTCTACTGCCATAATGAGATTAGCAGTATTTTTTTTCCCCACTGGCCAAATCAGCAAAATCAAAAGCCGAAGAGGAAGCTTCTGAACTAACTGAAAGAAATGCTATTTCAAAAGGTCATGAGATGAATCTACAAATCAAACAAGCGTGTCCCCCCCCCACCGGCCCCATCTCCTACTCCCAATGCAGTATCTCCAGGCCCCTCAAGGTCAAACAGGCATCGGACGACTAGACTCACACCACCCATGATGAGGCCTTGGCAGGCAGATGAAAAATGGATTCGTTCCCAAATAAGCTAGCACCTAATGTGGTTAGTCCTCCTAATGTGAAACCTCTAGACGACCATACTAATTATCCACGACTCTGCACTACTGATTGCCACGTGTTGGTCTGTGCAGTTTACATGGATAAGTCTAGAGTTTTCAAGAGGTGGGGTTTTGATGGGAAACCCCAAACCCTACTTTCCATATTGGACAAACTCTTGAAGACATATTTAAAGAAAATCCAGAGATCTTGTTAAGGATTGGGAATATACAGCTGAGAAGGGGGAAAGGGAGAGAATGGCCACCAGCTGCTCTTCCTCAATCTTAAAAACACCAATTTTGAACCTATTTTCAAAACAGAAACAGACTCCCCGACATAGGAAACAAACCTATGGTTACCAAAGAGGGAAGGGGGAGGGAGGGATAAATTAGGAGTTTGGGATTAACAGAATCAAACTACTATATATAAAAAAAAGATGACAAGGTCCTACTGTATAGCACAGGGAACTATGTTCAATATCTTGTAATAAACTATGACGGAAAAAGAATCTAAAAAAAGATAGATAGATAAGTAGATCTATATATATAATTGAATCACTTTGCTATACTTCAGAAAGTAACACAGGGAATTCCCTCGCGGTCCAGTGGTTAGGACTCTGCACTTCCACTGCAGGGGGCGCAGGTTCAACCCCTGGTCCGGGAACTTAAGATCCCACATGCCATGCGGTGTGGCCAAAAAATTAAAAAATAAATTTAAAAAACGTAAAGTAACACAGCACTGTAAATCAACTACACTTCAACTTAAAAAAACCCACCAATTTTAATTTCTACCGTCTGCCCACCCACTTTCTGTGTTCACAATTTCAGAGATCCATTATGCCTCCATTTTCCTCCTGTGAAGGTGAAAGGGGACAATCCACAGGTTCGTCATGTGCCCTCCCCACTCACTGCCCAGACAGGAGGGGAGAAGGGAGGCGCCCTGGGTGTTTGAGGGCACTCCTACAATCCTGCCACCACAACCCTCACCTGGGTCACCTCGGCGAGCACTGTTCTCCAGGATTGCATGGAGCACGAACACGGTCTTCAAGTCAAAATCCCAACTGTCTCCGGGAAGTGTCCAAATGAAAAGGTGCAGGCCTTGCCTGGACCTACCCTGTTCTCTGACTGAAGGACTGCAGACCAGAAATAAAGCTGTGAAGCACCACAGCCACAGGGATTCAAGAGCAACTAATTATAAGCTTCAAAGCCTTTGAGAAATAGAACCAGAAACACCGTAAGATGCTTTTCCTATGTCCACTCCAGAAACCTAGTTTCATTTGTAAGACACTGAACTCCTCGGTTCTCTTGAATCACAATTCT